GTGAATTTACTTATTGGTAAAAAGTGGTGGAGCGTGGATCGATTTGGAACAGATGGAACACTTAAAAGAAATCGGAAAACGGAGCACTACAACATTCATAACATCACTCAATGGACGGATAATAGTGGTCCTTCTTTACAAGCATCGCAAAGCGAGGAACGGTTTCTTGTATTATCAAGTCAAGGTAATCAAAAGCTCGACCAAGTTTTGTGCACAAAACTTCACTTATGTGAGCTGACCGAACATTGTGCGAGCCAGGCTGAGCATCAGTTGCCTTACAGTTCAAAATGCTAGAACTAAATTGTGGGTGACTGTGCGTTTAGTCATGAGTTTTATTGGCTATAGAAGTCGCAGTATAGCATAAAATCGCCGTCTGCCTGTCTTGGTTTCCCCTGTCAAAGCGGCTATACTAACCCACAAAGGAGGTGTGCCAAGGAGTGACGAATTCCCTCTAAGGTTTACGATAGCCTTCACCGTTAGCCCTTAAATTTCCTCTATAAGGGACCATACCACACTCCTGGGTGATATTTTCATCTTTTCTACGAAGATATGATAATACATATACTGGGGCGAGATGGACTAAGTGGTTAGAGCGCGAATTTACTGACCATAAGATCCGTGGTTCGAACCTGACCTCTACCTTTTGACTTCCTCTGTCTAGGCTTGGGCAACCTGGCAGTTTCCCAACTCTCGCCAAACCTTCGCGTGGCATGGCAGCTAGGCACCGAAAGGGTACTACGGCTGAACGATTTTATTATACTTTTTTATACATATACCATGTGCTGTACACATACTAGGAAATAGATAAGTTTAAAAGGTGATCCACGAAAATAATGCTCTGGAGTGCATGAGTTTCAAGGAAGGTTCTCAAGGGATGCGATTGCAGCCTTTCGCATGGTGGGTGACTGTACAATACTCTGTTAAGATACGCCTCACCGCTTCTTTTCCGTTTTCTCTACTTTTCTCGTGAGAAAGACGGCATTAACAGTCATGAATGGTCATCCATAAAGATAGAACTCAATACCTGACACTAACTAACGAGTTGGACTTCCTTGATTGGCTGAAGGACGCCAAACCTAACCAATTGAAAGCTGTCTCTCATTATCCGTTTCCTTCGTGGCCCGATGTAACTCTGAAAGCTGCACTGAAAGCGAATAGTCAGAACAACCTTGCAGCGTTAGTGGATGTGGAAAAACCCCTAAGACAGTTTGAATTCGTGCAGCAAGATCAACAAAAAACGCGTTGACCCATATTTCAAGAAAGACCCACATTAAGCGGTTTTCATCAGTGAAATTGTCTTCTCCTGAGTGACCACTCATCCGTCTTTGAACGGCTGGGACGGGAGAATTTTTCGGTTGTGTCCAAAAACCGTTTACCGTGATATCCATCTCGCGTTGCTTATAGAAAAAACTGCTTGTGTTGATGCGGACAAATTTGTGTTGGTTAAGCTGTGATTTTGAAGCGCCCCATTGGTTGAAGGGATCACTCCTAACAATGAACTCGCGCGACCAGCGAGTTAGCGAGATCAACTTTATGTTAGATGGAGTTCAATAAAGAGCGAAAGGGTCCAGAGTACGTTGATTATACACTTCATCCAGCTGGAACCGTGACGCATCTGCTTTGGAAGGATGGACAGCACACCCAAGTTACGAAATATCCAGCCATATTCAGAACCGGTGAATTTTCTCATCAAGATGGACAGCTTGTCCAGCTTCCTGTTTCGTACAGATGACTTCATCAGCAAAGCAATCAGATGGGCACACAGAACTCTTTAGTACCAACCGGAAAAGTTTTTAAATTTTGCCCTAATAATAATAATTTAACTGTAGCACCCTTTCGGTGCCTAGCCGTCATGCCACCCGAAGAAAGCACGAAGGCTGAGATACCGTCAGGCTGCCCAAGCCAAGGCAGGAGCAGTCGAGATGCTGAGGTTGGCTCCGAGCCCTCCGGTCAGTGAGTACGTGCCAGAACTCCTGAGCTATTTCGAGCTCACAGCAATTGTGGGTGGTACATATTGGCTGTCATGCCGTAGAATCCAGTCCAGAGGAAATTCACATGGAAGAGGACTGTTTCCTTCGAGTCTATGGTTTTCTACTTAATCAAAATAAACCTCGTGGAAAAACGCCTCCTTTGGACTGATTTAGTCCCCGAACCGTTCAACATAACTAATATAGCCTAGCCTAAGTGGACCATGAGAACCGTATTGATCAACCGTCCAGACATGACAAATCTAAGGCCTGTGGCCAATTTCACTCAGTACTGGGCGAAATGAAGAAAACACCCATAGTCGACTTGATTCTACTTGATCGGACTACCCCAGGAACGATCAGCAATAGGTTTCACTTAGCGTTGGGCTGTGGCATTGACAACACCCTGAACTCGGCTGATTTCGCGTCGTTCAGATGCCAGCCCAGAATGAACAAATTCAGATTCAAGCTTGCTCTGCTTTGTTCAAAAGTCCGCCCAGAACTTTCGCGTCAGTAGCGTAACTGACCCTGAGCATTATTCAGCAGATAAATGGAATAGCAAATAATGACCTACAAATCCACCAAGTTGGCCCACAAAGGGTGGTTGTATGTGTGAAGAAATCGAAAGAAAACACTAAATAGACCGATCTGGCGAGAAATTAGCCACTACCACAGCAGTTAACGCCATTCGCATTGGTGAGGCAAGTAAAACTGGTCGATACGGATTTGACGTGACTGAGTAATGTAGTTCTCTGAATTCAATAATGACTATATAATCGGATCCCGAAAGACTAAGTCGCATGGCGAGATGACCCAAGTGGTTAGGGCGCCAATTTACTGACTTCCCCTGTCTAGGCTTGGGCAACCTGACAGTATCCCAGCCCTCCCCGAACCTTCGCGTGGCATGGCAGCTAGGCACCGAAAGGGTACTACGGCTGAACGATTTTATTATACTTTTTTATACATATACCATGTGCTGTACACATACTAGGAAATAGATAAGTTTAAAAGGTGATCCACGAAAATAATGCTCTGGAGTGCATGAGTTTCAAGGAAGGTTCTCAAGGGATGCGATTGCAGCCTTTCGCATGGTGGGTGACTGTACAATACTCTGTTAAGATACGCCTCACCGCTTCTTTTCCGTTTTCTCTACTTTTCTCGTGAGAAAGACGGCATTAACAGTCATGAATGGTCATCCATAAAGATAGAACTCAATACCTGACACTAACTAACGAGTTGGACTTCCTTGATTGGCTGAAGGACGCCAAATCTAACAGACAATGGAAAGCTGTCTCTCATTATCTGTTTCCTTCGTGGCCCGATGTAACTCTGAAAGCTGCACTGAAAGCGAATAGTCAGAACAACCTTGCAGCGTTAGTGGATGTGGAAAAACCCCTAAGACAGTTTGAATTCGTGCAGCAAGATCAACAAAAAACGCGTTGACCCATATTTCAAGAAAGACCCACATTAAGCGGTTTTCATCAGTGAAATTGTCTTCTCCTGAGTGACCACTCATCCGTCTTTGAACGGCTGGGACGGGAGAATTTTTCGGTTGTGTCCAAAAACCGTTTACCGTGATATCCATCTCGCGTTGCTTATAGAAAAAACTGCTTGTGTTGATGCGGACAAATTTGTGTTGGTTAAGCTGTGATTTTGAAGCGCCCCATTGGTTGAAGGGATCACTCCTAACAATGAACTCGCGCGACCAGCGAGTTAGCGAGATCAACTTTATGTTAGATGGAGTTCAATAAAGAGCGAAAGGGTCCAGAGTACGTTGATTATACACTCCATCCAGCTGGAACCGTGACGCATCTGCTTTGGAAGGATGGACAGCACACACAAGTTACGAAATATCCAGCCATATTCAGAACCGGTGAATTTTCTCATCAAGATGGACTGTTTGTCCAGCTTCCTGTTTCGTACAGATGACTTCATCAGCAAAGCAATCAGATGGGCACACAGAACTCTTTAGTACCAACCGGAAAAGTTTTTAAATTTTGCCCTAATAATAATAATTTAACTGTAGCACCCTTTCGGTGCCTAGCCGTCATGCCGCCCGAAGGAAGCACGAGGGCTGAGATACCGTCAGGTTGTCCAAGCCAAGGCAAGAGCAGTCGAGATGCTGAGGTTGGCTCCGAGCCCTCCGGTCAGTGAGTACGTGCCAGAACTCCTGAGCTATTTCGAGCTCACAGCAAATGCTGTGAGTGGTACATATTGGCTGTCATGCCGTAGAATCCAGTCCGGAGGAAATTCACACGGAAGAGGACTGCTTCCTTCGAGTCTACGGTTTTCTACTTAGTCAAAATAAACCTCGTGGGAAAACGCCTTCTTTGGACTGATTTGGTCCCCGAATCGCTCAACATAACTAATATAGCCTAGCCTAAGTGGACCATGAGAACCGTATTGATCAACCGTCCAGACATGACAAATCTAAGGCCTGTACTGGGCCTCAGTACTGGGCGAAATGAAGAAAACACCCATAGTCGACTTGATTCTACTTGATCGGACCACCCCAGGAACGACCAGCAATAGGTTTCACTCAGCGTTGGGCTGTGGCATTGACAACACCCTGAACTCGGCTGATTTCGCGTCGTTCAGATGCCAGCCCAGAATGAACAAATTCAGATTCAAGCTTGCTCTGCTTTGTTCAAAAGTCCGCCCAGAACTTTCGCGTCAGTAGCGTAACTGACCCTGAGCATTATTCAGCAGATAAATGGAATAGCAAATAATGACCTACAAATCCACCAAGTTGGCCCACAAAGGGTGGTTGTATGTGTGAAGAAATCGATTATGACCTTGTACAGAGCGATAATAGAGGCGTAAAGTCAACCATCTACGGCAATAACTGAGATACACAGGTACGGGTAGTGGAATGATCAGGAAATAGCGAGCCAACGAACTCTAAATGGTTTGTTGGTTTAGATCTAACCACAAACTGTTCCCGTAAACGACCACTGAGACAAGACACAACAAACTTTATGGGGTTTTTCAATGGAGAAACACTGTGTCGGTCAAACTTTGGTCTAATAAAGGTATTTTGTGAAGCACCTATCATCAAGTCATCCAGTGCACTCTGACCGTCCTCCTCTGTTATGTCTGTCACCAAACGACCGCTGAATCACATCATGGTGGCACATCAGTAGTGGCCAATTCCACTGAGAACGGTGAACTAGAACGGTGCTGCGCCGTAGACGTCTGGTCAGTTTATACGGTTATGGGATTGTTTATTGCTTACTCAAATCATATGGAAGGTAGACGTCTAGTTTATACGGTTATGGGATTGTTTATTGCTTACTCAAATCATATGGAAGTTTAAAGCTTTTGAAGTTTGAGCAGCACACACACACATCTAGAGTAGTGTGGGTCAATTTGTCAAAAAGGTTGGATTCGGAGGCCTTGGTAGAAAAGAAGACAGGAGCTAGTGTGAAAGACCCTAAGAGACTCTTCTTTAGTTGACTGCACAAATAACCTTATCCGGTGAATGCACCAAACCTGGTGAGTGCTGAACGAACTTCATTACTTTGTATATTCCACCTACAGGTAAACTAGACGGACAGCCAAGGGAGCGATTGGCTGCGCATAGTTCACGCTGACTAAACGCTACCACTTTTCCAAGCTATTTTGCTTTCGGGCTTCACATGTGTGGAATGTTTTATGTGTTGCACCGATGAACAATTCACTGCATTTCGGAAGTAATAAACAATGGTTCAGCTGTGGAAACCTTACGGTTCATGGAAGTCATGTATGAGGGTTGAGAAAGTTCCCCGGCGCTCGAGCCTACACCGAAGCAACCTAGAAGCCGGGGTTGCGTTCACACAACCGAGTTATCACGAGCTCAGTTTTTCAAGCACAGTATTAAAAGCCAGGAACCGACATCACGTTGCTAGATTAGGAATTAAGGAAACATACCAGCAGTTGTCACGGCTGACGACAGCGAGGGTATAGTCTTCGGCTCTGGAGGTGAAACATAAGTAGTGGGTGCGATAAACATCAATACTGTGTTCACCACGGCCTGCATTGACAACCGAAACAGGTGTAACGTCAACCGGTATGTTATTGGTTCACGCTTATGCAACGGCCAGTTGTACACTTTCTTCCGTAAAAGACCGATTTCAGTTAAGGGGACCAAAGTGCTTTTGTTCCACATGATGAGTTCAGATGGAGAAGTCCAAACACATCAGTGGCTGCGACCAGAGGCAATACCAGCTGCAGCTCTGTGCTGAACAAGCAGTCGTTTGTCATTAGTACTGATTCACAGGATAAAGCTATTTTTTAATATCGACCTTTCTGGAATGTGGATGTAGATTTGGACTGCGACATAATTGGCTCTGGGCGTAAATTTTTGACTAAGCGTACAAGCGAACCACGTGGTTGACAGCCAGAAAATAGTCTATCTCAGAAGAATTAAGCTGTACTGAAACATAGTACCGAAACCTCTGAGTGGTTCAAGTCATGAACAGAAAGCTTTCGAGGCTACATCAGCTAAACATTTAGACTAACTTAGATGTAGTTTGTTCATAACATTATTCAATTTCTCTGACTTGTGAGTTGTATTTCTGGTTCCATACACTATTCATCCGCTCGGAGTGCATTTACTTAGGACAGTATCCTCAAACGTATCCGTACGGTTAAGTGGGTGTACGCGGCTGGACTGAGGTCATACAGTCATGCCCATTGCGATATCACCAGATCTGTAACTCCTGTAGCTTTTGTCAAAGGGGTCATAATTACCGCCAGAACACAGGGGAAATGTAAGTAATTCCCGTATTTAAAACCAGTACTGAATGGAACCAGTAGCGCGGCTACTGAGAAGTGGCAAAAAGCAAGGCTACACCAGCGAGGGTTCCACGAATGTTCCTTGGGTGCCGTGAGAGACTGGTCACCACTTACAGAGCATGTGAACTGAACACCCACCATCCCTCATAAGGGTCTGAACATCATGTTCTGTAAATTTGTTTTGTGCGTTAAGGCAAGCTTCATCAATGC